GGCTTCATTGTGAAGTCAAAGGGGAGACAAATCCTCTCATCATTGCTGAATTTTCATTTCTAGATATCTTTAACTCTCTTGAACACTTCTCAGCCAATTATGAGGTTTGTAATCTTTAATTTCTTATTCAACGATTCAAGAATATAACAAGCTGGCAATTGTATATTGTCTTTGATAAATATGGCAGTCTGTCAGCACCAAGATTAAAAAGACTGTCATTTGGGAAGGCAATTTTAAAGACTAACATGGATTCCAGACTCGTGAAGATGTTAAAATGAAAGCTTTGCTTTCAGATTTTCCTGTTTATACACAAACCAAAGGTTTCTGATTTTAGACTCTCATAAAAGAAAATTTCAAGGGAGCTGGGATGTTTACGAAAACAATGCTATTTTATCAAAATACAATTTGAATTTTACTAATATAAAATAATTTTGTAATAATTATGTGCAGTGTTTCTTCATGACACTGAAACCTTAAAAATATAATACTATCAGGTTGATTTTAAATTATCTATGGAAATGATTGTACGAAATACAATGTGAATGAAGAAAATATGTGAAACAAATGTATATGAAGTTTGTATGAAAACTAATATAAAATAAAATAAATAAATATGGGATATTCACACATGACTTAACGGCACCAAACAACAACAACATTCACATTTGACTCTATTTATCTATTTACTACCTTTCATATAATTAATTAATTCTATCTGCCAAAGGGATATAGTAGAAAGAACAACATTAAGTATCTTCTTGAACCTTAGTTCTCTGAGATTTCAAATGAAGTATTTACTGTATTGTTTGACAACTGGGTGACAATATTGAGTGACGTATTCAGGTTTAACAAGATATGTTTTAAAAAATTCAGCTGAGAATGTTTATTAACACTTATATGACTTATGTTAATTTTATTTATTAATTTTATCAATTAGCTTTTTAAGCTAGATAATCTATCTGTGCCATGAAATTTTCCACCAATAGCGATACTATTTTACTTTATGTACATAACTTTTTTATCTCAAACATCTTGTTCTCCCATTTTTGAAAAATCTTTTAAAACAAAAAAGTTATTTAGAGTTATCTAAATCAATAGTATACTATTATGTTCTAGGCGGAAGAGATCTGCATTTCCTATTCATAACAAATAATCATCTAAATATTTTAACTTACCTTCTTTTCTTGTATGAAGGATCCCTCAATATTTAAATAATAATTAAGAATTTGATAATTAAGTTGTTTTTTTATTTTATTTTATTTCATTATTATTTTTTGTGTGTGTACTGTCAAATCAGATCTGACTGATACAGGAGGAGATTGTTCCTCCTTCTCCAGCAGAGCATCTGGTGGATTTGAACTGCGCACCTCTGAGATTGCAGTGCAGCTTCTTGCCAATAGGCCACCAGAGCTCCCCTAATAAGTAAGCTTTATGCTGTCTATGACTAAATGTTTTATATTACTATGAAATAAGTATCTAGGAATAAGAATTTAGTTATTGTAACATTTATATCCCTTACCTATGAAGACTCACTTGAAGTTTGACTGCTTCTCATCACGAATCCTCAGACTCAAGGTAGACCAGCTTGGCTGGTATCCCTCAGAAAATGAAGAGGACTTTTATCAGCCTGCTGCTCCCAGAGGGACTTTTGTCTCCAGGTCATTAGGATCAACAAGCTGGCAACTGTGCCTTGTACAATATCCTTTGGAAAATACCTATCAATTAGTAGCAAAGTTTGTAAAAAATCATGTTTCTGAGACTCCTGTCTACCTTTTGCTTGAGATAAGATAGATTCTTCTTTGAATAACACATTATCCAGCTCCCATGGGGCTAATTTCTTTCTTATTTACCTTGCAGAACTTGTCAGGATCAAAATCAAAGCCAGATAATACTGTTGAATATACTTGAAAATTTAAGATCATTTTCCTATAATCTAAAGCAGTGCCTGATATATTGTACACATATAACAGTAAATTTTGAATACTGTTGAGTTTTTATAATTTAACTTAGAATGTTCATTCCTTATTTAATATATTATTATTTTCTTAGTAAAGAGGAAAAATAGTAAACTCAAGTTTCATTATATAAGAATTTGGTGAGAAAAATGGGGGAGATTTCTTAGCTACTCCTTTTTTTTTTTTTACCTGAAAATTACTTAATGTATTTTTACGTTTTCATTTTACAAAGTTCATATACATTGTGTTTCAATTCTCCATTCACAGTTTTTCATAGAGTCATAACCATTCATTATGTTTTATAAAATTAATCAACATTGAACTATACCCACTATTACCCTGTCTTTTCAGGTCCCCGCCAGATCTTTCCCATTTTCTTTACTCCCTCCCTCCACCCACCAAATTGTGTAACTCTATGATTTTGCCCCTACCCACTGCTCCTACCCCTTCATCCCTTGGATCCCCTCACATATTTTACTAGTTATCCTATTTTTACACTAATGATCTTATTCTGTATTTGTTCTTATGAGACTGAGTTAATTCACTCAGCACAATGTTCTCCAGTCTTTCCCAAGTTATGTAGTATTTTTCAAAATCATTGCTCCTGAATGCTGCATAGTATTCCATTTTGTGAACACCACAATTTCTTAATCCATTCTCTTGTGGTTGGACATTTGAACTAATTCCATATTCTTGTGATGATGACTAATGCTGCTATGATAATAGGTATACAAATCTTCATTTGTGTTTCACTTCTATTTTCCTTGGGGTATATTTCTAGTACTGGAACAGCTAAGTTATACAAAGCTTCTATGTACAACTTTTTGAGAAAACGCCAAATAGTGGTTCTATCATTTTACAATCCTATCAACAGAGCATGAGATTTCCCACATTTCCACATTCTCTCCAACATTTCTTGCTTGCTTCCCTGCTAAACTTTGCCACTGCTATTACAGTGAGATGGTACCTCATTGGGTTTTGATTTGCATTTTTCTTATTGTCAGTACTTTTGAACATTTATTCTTATGTCTATTAGTCATCTACACATCTTCCTCTGTGAAAAGCCTAGTTATTGATGCAGAAAAGGAATTTGACAAAATCCAACACGTCTTCCTGATTAAGACACTCAGTAAAATAGAAACCGAAGGGCATTTCCTCAACATAGTGAAAAGTATATATGTAAAACCAATAACCAATATCATTCTCAATGGAGAAAGACTGAAAGCATTCCTTTGTGAACAGGCACCAGACAAGGATACCCACTGTCACCACTTCTATTCAATATTGTATTGGAAGTACTTTCTAGGGCAATATGACAAGAGAAGAAAATAAAAGGCAAACAGATCAACAAAGAGATGGTTAAACTATCACTATATGCACACGTTATGATAGTGTGTATAGAAAACCATAAGGATTCCACAAATAAACTGTTAGAAATAGTGGAGCAGTTTGGTAGGAAGTCAGGATAAAAGATCAATAACCAAAAGTCAATGAGATTCCTATACAGTAATAAAGAGAACTCAGAGAAGAAAACCAAGAAAGCAATGCCATTACAACATTGTTGTTGTTGTTGTTAGGTGCTTTTAAGTTGAGTATAACTTACAGCAATACTATAAACAAAATATCTGAAGCCTGTTCTATCCTGCACCATCCTCACACTTTCCAACATACAAGAGCCCATTGCAGTCTTCCTTCTTTAGCTGACTGTCCTTCTCCAAGAAATAGCCCCTCCTTGCAACATGCCCAAAGTAGCCAACCACAAATTGAAATACTGAGCAATGAATCTAATTAGAGACACAAAATACGTATACAAAGAAAACTACAAAACACTTCTACAAGAAAAATAAAAGGCCTAAATAAGTGGGAAAATGTGTCCTGCTCATGGATAGGAAGACTCAATATTTCAGTATTGTGAAATGATAATTGTACCACACACAAAAAAATCTACATGTTCAATGCAATCCCAATACAGACACAAAATTTCATTTTTCAAGGAGATTAAAAAGAAAATTGTTAAGTTTATCTAGAAAGAAAAGAGACCCAGAATAAGCAAAGCACTACTGAAAAACAAAAATGAAATGGGAAGCATAGCACTTCCTGACCTCAAAGCCTACTACAGACTTGTAATAACCTAAACAGCATGATACTGCACATAGACCAATGAAAAAGAATCAAGAACCTAGGAATGGACCTATCTATCTGTGGTCAACTTATATTCAACAGGAAAACAAAAATTATCAAAAGGGGAAATTACAACCTCTTCAATAAAAGGTGCTGATAAAATTGGACTGCTATCAGTAGAAAGCTGAAACAGGATCCAGATTTCATACTATACACAAAAAGCAACTCAAAGTGAATCAGAGACCTGGGCAGGAGTAAAGCTGCAAGCCATAACCTTCATAGGACACAAACTGGGACTAAGCTTAGTAGGTTTGTAAAGAGGCTTACAAATACAGCCAGAAATGCACAAAAGAGGATAAAATTGCTGAATGAGACATTCTAAAGATTAAACTTCCACGTGCATCCAAACTTTATACAATAAGGTGGAAAGAAAAACAAGCAACTGGGGGGAAAAATTTGGTAATACCATCTCAGACAAGGGTCTCATAATGAAAGTTTACAGAATACTATTGGGCCTTCAGAAGATAACCTATTTACAAAATGGGCTACATCTTTTTATGGTGGAGCAAGTCCTAACTTACTATATGTATAACGTGTCTAAAAGAAAATATTTTTTAATTGTGTGAAGTATGTTGTTATGTGCCGTCGAGTTGCTTGTGACTCATAGCGACCCTATGTACAACAGCCCTAAACCTGCTCTGTCCTGTGCCAATCGCACTGTTTCTGACACACCCATCCCAATTACCCCAATCACTGAATCAATCCACCTCATAGAGAGCCTTCCCCTCCTACGCTGTCCCTCCATCCTACCAAGTATGGTGTCCCTCTCCAAGGATCAGTCTTTCCTTAAACATGTCCAAAGTATGTTAGATGGAGCCCTAGAATCTTTGTCTCCAAGGAGCTGCCCAGTCTAACCCTTTCCAGGATGAATCTGTTTTCCTAGCAGTCCATGACACCCTCAATACTCTTCCCCAGCACCACAGCTGAAAGATATCAATTCTCCTTCTATACTCCTTAGTCATTATCCAACTCTCTGATGCATAACAAGCAATAGCAAAGACCATGGCCTGTATCAGACACACCTTAGTCTCCAGAGCCACCATTGCTCTTCAGTACTTTGGAGAGGTCCCTCACAGCAATAAGTGTCTTTTAATTGAAACCTCGAGTTGTTATATTCAAGGATGCTTTAGGCAGAATATGAAATGATCCAGAAAGTATTAAAAGAAGATAGAAAGAATATACTGAATCACTGTATCTAAAGTAATTGGCAGATACAGAAGAATTTCATGAAACAACATATGAACAAAAGCATATGGTGATGAAGGAAGACATTCAGGCTGCTTTGAAAGAAATAGCAAATAATAAGGCCCCAGGAATAGACGGTATATCAGTTGACATATATCAGCTGACAGATGCTGCCCTGGACGTGCTAACCAAGTTGTGCCAAGAAATCTGGAGAACAACCATTTGGCTAACTGACTGGAAGAGATCTATATTTGTTCCCATGCCAAAGAAGGGTGACCCAACACAGTGTGAAAACTATAGAACAATCTCATTGATTTCACATGCAAGCAAGATTCTGCTGAAGATTATCCAAAAATGACTGGAACAACACATCAGCAGAGAACTGCCAGAAGTCCAGGCTGGGTTTAGAAGGGGTCGTGGTACCAGGGATATTGTAGCTAATGTTAGATGGATCTTGTTTGAAAGCATGGAGAACTAGAGGAATGTATATCTGCGTTTCATTGACTATGCAAAGGCGTTTGACTGTGTGGATCATTACAAACTGTGGCTAACTCTGAGAAGAATGGGAATCCCAGAACACTTAATCATGTGAAGTATAACATACATAAAATCATATGTACACAGAATTAGTGCTGTGCTAAACAAGTTATTGTAAAGAAAATACAATAGTGTGACCAACAGAGAAGCTGAGGAACAGGCTATCAATGATAGATAGTTCCTTCCCTTCCCTTCTCAATCACTATCACCTACTCACAGTGAGAATCATCCTAATTTCACCTTGGTTACATGTTGTTTTTCTGATACTTTTGAAATATCTAAGCATATATGTGTTAAATAGCCTTGTTGAATATATAGATGATTTCATTTGGTATTGTAAGAAAAAAGACACTCATTGTAAACTAATAAATAAATGTTATCATCCAGAGTAATGACAAACAATACAAAAATGTTCAAGGTAGAGCGAGAATGTGATCTTTGAAACAATTGGTAGAAAGGAAGACACGAAGCTTACAGGGAAGGCCAGTGAATACCACTATAATTGAGATATATGCACCAACAAACAGAGCCAAAGAAGAAGAAATAGATGATTTCTACCAACTTTTACAGTCGGAGATAGATCAAACATGCAATCAAGTGCATTGATAATAAAAAAGCAGAACAGAGAAGAAGAATCAGTAGTTGGAAAACGTGGGCTTGGTGACAGGAATGATGCTGGAGATAGAATGATTGAATTTTGTAAAATCAATGACTTATTCATTGCAAATACATTTTATAAGAGACACAAAAGCAGGTTATACACATGGACTTCACCTGATGGTATGCATAGGAATCAGATCGACTACATCTGTGGGAAGGAACCACTGGAGAAGCTCAATATCAGCTGTGAAAACTAGGCCGGGGGCTGACTGTGGAACAGACCACCAATTACTCATATGCAAGTTCAAGCTGAAGCTGAGGAAAATTAAACCAAATCCTCAGGAGCCAAAATATGACTTTGATTTCATACCACCTGAATTTCAGAATCATCGCAGGAACAGGTTTGAGGCCTTGAACACACTCCATGATTATAGCATATTAAAAAATTTATTTTTTGGCCTAAATCTACATTGATAAAGTAAATAATTTTTCTTCAGTCTTGACATTAGATAAAATACTATAAAAGTCATGTAACTCTACATGATACAACTTAAAACTGTATGACATTAATTTATCCTTCATCAATTATGATACACATAAATTGTACAAATTTCTCTCTTCTTGGCTTTCTACTGACACACACACACACACACACACACACACACACACAAATACCAACAAGTAATAAAAATTCTCTTTATTTTGTATTTCAGAAGATTACACACATAGAAAATGTGGAGTAAACACACTGTGCAAGGTCAGTGTCTTTTTGCTCATCTTAATGTTTTAGCATTTGCAAGTAGCTTCAAAGTTCCTATCAAGATTCCCCACTTCATCCTGAGTAGTTGAAAAGGAAAATTTTTGAATCTTTGCTTATAAAATAAAGAAGAAGAGAATAACAAAAGGGATCAACTTAATTTATGGAAGCTAAGTTTGCTATTGAAAATGTAAGGTCTCTAGGAAAGGACAGAAACCAGATCAGGACAAGAAAGACAGGCTGACTCTAAAGTAGAAAACAGGAGCTACTTAGAGTGGGATTTTCTATTGTTTTACAAGGAAATTGGGATAGGGGATGTTCACAGTTGTGTTTTACAAGACAAGGGAGTATTCTGGGGGTTGCAAATAGTTATTCCTGAGAAATATACGTAAAACAATTTCACAGCCCTGGTGCCCTAGTGGCAAGAAGTTGCACTGTAATGGTGAAGACACGCAGTTTGAGTCTACCAGGTGTGATCCGTGGGAGAAGAATGGACAGTCTCGTCCTGTGTGATTAACTGCCTCTGAAACTTTATGACAGTAATACGTTTTCAATCTATCAGTTTGACTAAAAGGCATATATGTGGTTGTGTCATATAATGGCATGGTTATTATCCAGTTTAATTTAAGTAGTAAAATAGTACAAATGATCTCAATAATGCATAACAGAGTATAGGACCCAAAATACAACTTTAAGCATGCACATACATGTTTATTAAACAAAATGTCTATGCTATTTTCTTAGAAAATATCACACTTATGTAGAATATGAGGGAGCACTGGTGGCTTAGTTGCAAGAAGCTACACTACAATTCTGAAGGCGTGAAGTCCAAACTCACCAGCAGTTCCATGGAAGAAGGATGAGTGATCATCTTCCATGTGATTAACTGCCTCTGAAAACCCACTGGAGGGTCAGCTATGGGTTGGTACGAACCCAACAGTACACAACAACACACAGAATATTTCTTTTGATCATTAAAGGCAACATTCATGATCCCTGTAATTTTGTATTCAAAAGTTTATAAGCAATCCACATACAAATAACAGATGAATACACATAATACATAAAAATATTTAAGTTTCTTCAGAGGGATGCTTGACTTGTTTGTGATGACTTAGAATTAGAGTTAACTAAAGGGTAATGTTTTTATGTTAATAAAAACATATTAATAAAAATTTAAAAAATAATAAACATTTTATTAATGCTGAGACCATTAAACTATCATTGCTAAATGATGCAACAGAATTTTGCCTGCTGATATCTCAAGATGAAATTGACACTTGACATTTTTCAGAACCAAGGATATTTCTTTAAAGAGAGAAAAGTTTTAATATTTTTTAATAAGGACTGTGGGTAGTTGGCAACATCAAAATGGATTTTTATACCTGGGCCCTAGTATTTCATAGATGCATTTTCTGCTCTGATTCTGTGGATGGAAGTGCATCTTCCCAAAACTTTTCTTAAAGCTGCTGCCACATCTTTGTTCCGTAAGCTGTAGATGAGTGGGTTGAGCATGGGAGTAAGGATGGTATAGAAAGCAGACACAACCTTGTCTTTCTCTGGTGTGTGATAAGAATGGGGTAACACATTGGTGTAGAAGGCTGCCCCATAGAAGATACTCACCACCATAATGTGAGAGGAACAAGTAGCAAAGGCTTTGCGTCTGCCCTCAGCTGAATTCATCCTATGGACAGTAATCAGAATCCGTGTGTAGGAGACAGAGATGATAGATATAGGGATGAGCAGCATTAGCACACAGCAGGAATACATGAGGGTCTCATACAGGGAAGTGTCTGTACATGACAGCTTCAACACAGCTGGAATCTCACAGAAAAAATGATTGATTTCCCGAGATCCACAGTAGGGAAAACTCATCGTAACAGGGGTCAGCATAAATCCATCCAAGGAGCCACCAACCCAGGAGCCCACTACCATAAACAAGCAAATTCTGCGGTTCATGAGGAGAGGGTATCGGAGGGGGTTGCATACAGCAACATACCTGTCATAGGCCATCAGGCCCAGAAGGAAGAATTCTCCTCCAATCAGGGTCAAGTATAGAAATATCTGAACTGCACATCCAACGAAGGAGATGGTCTTTTCCTTGGACAGAAGATCTTGCAGCATTTTGGGGACAGTTATACAAATATAGACTGTGTCCATGATGGAGAGTTGGCTAAGCAAAAAGTACATGGGCGTATGGAGGCGAGAATCCACATGAATGAGCAGAATCATGACTACATTAGCTGTTACAGCTACCACGAAGATGAAGAAGACCACTGTAAAAATAAGTTCAGGAAACAGTGGATGGGTGATGAGACCCAAAAGGATGAAGTCAGTGGAGTTCTGAAAAATGGCCCCCATGTTCATATCACTTGATAGCTTTTGGACTGTAAAGGCAGAAAGTTAGTTAGCTAGGTAACAGTTCAGTGTTCATGCATAGTCCACCATAAATAAAGTGTAAGAAGCAGTGTGGCATAAAGGAAACAAAAACAAAAACAACACATCAAGTCTGGCGTTAGAATCACGCTGAAACAGAACTGTGGTTCCTAGTGTCGGTATAAATTGTACTCGACTTGATGGTATCTAAAAACAACACACGACAATGAATAGTATAGATTAATATTTGTATTAATTATGTTTTATAATCTTAATAGTTATGTTTTTATTTTAGACTATGTTTTTGGGCTGTATGTAAGTATTAAATGAAATAATAAAGTTTGAATTTCTGTGTATCCTTAATTTTTGTTCTGAACTATCTCAGATATATATAATCTGCTCTTTATGTTTCCTATTTTGTTGCAATCTACAAGTATATGTTGGTTAAATTTAAATAGCTTTCTGCGATTGAATTATTCAAATAGTATAAAATATGTGCTTTAATAAATGGATTTTTTTTTGTTATGTGCTATTGAGTCACATAGAGAATAGACTCATAAACTGACCCTCCAGTCAGAGCCTGATGGGCTCTAAATCACATCATACTGAAAGAAGTGGAAGGTCAGAAAATACAAGACAATGAATTGATACAATGACTTTAGCAATGGGCTTTAATGTGTCTCAGATTGTAGGGATGGCATAGGATAGGGAAAGGGTTAGATCTGTTCATGGAATTGCTGTGAGTCATAGAGAGAGCTCTTTTGGCCTAGTGGATAGAAAGTTATGCTACCAAGCCAAAGGTGGGTGCTTCTAATCTGCAGCCCTCAGACCTGGTTTTAATTGTTTTTGGTGAAACATTCTTCTAAGTGGTATAGCCCTGCTCTGTCTATTTGCTGTATGGAGGTAACTCGTGGTTGCTGTGATGCCAAACACTGTGACACTGATGTGTCAAATGCGATAATGGTTACACATGGTGGACAGTGTTTGCTGGAGCTCCCAGATTAAAAAAGACTTGGAAGAAGGAGTGGCATCCACTTCCAAAATAGCTTGCCTCTGGAAACTCTATGAACTTAGAGGAGTGATGAAAGTGATACAAGTGTTTAGGTCTTTTCATTCATAGGGTCGTGATGAGGGCACTTTAAAAAAAATCACACAAGAGAAAAGTGCCTTTCTCTTTAGGGGAAGCCAGTGGATTCAAACTGCCTATCTTTGGGTTGACAGTGCAACTCCTACCACTAGGTCACCACAGTTTAATATTGAGGTAATTCCCACGTTATCATATTATTCCAATTTATAGAAGCCCTTCACCCGGTTTCAAATGCTGTATTTTTCTTTTCTAGTATTTCTCCTGTGACAAGACTAGTTATATTAAAATCACTGACATTTTGGTTAGCAGTTCAACGTGTGACATGCTGTCACCAGGAATCCTTATGAGGTTCATGTATTCTTATAATTTAAACTATTTTTCTGGTAAAGTTATTATTGATAATTCTGTGAATGGTTAGGCGATCAAGATGTCACCAAAACAAATAAAACTCTTGACCGTTGAGTTCGCTGTGATTCATAATGACTCCATATGCCAGAGAAGCCTAAAGACTTTGCTATCCTGCATTATTTTTTCTTCAACAATAATTTATTTTCACTTCAATTGTGACTTGAGTGAAACCTTACAAAGTGTGCTGGTTTTCCATTTAAACATTCACATACGTTTTGTTTTGTAGCATATCCACAATGTAATGGAAGCAGACGACCACATCTTTTCTTTTCCTCTACAGTTGCAGAAGAATTTGAATTGCCAGCATTTTGTCTAACAGCTAAGTGCTTGACCAGTATATTACTAGGGTTTCTTGCTAAAAATCACTGTTTAAGAAACTTTATGTAATACTTCGTTTCTGTCCTATGGGTAAATTTTTAGTAAGAATCAACTCAGTGACAACAGATTAACACCTTAAACTATGTCCTAGACTTCTGCTATTCCATTATTCAGTCAAATCTTTAAAACATGACTAACTGGATTTCTGAACCTGTTTGATTTACTTTGGGGAATTGTACTGCCAACTCAAAAGTATATAATTCAAATCTACTAGCTTCCCTGTAGAAGAAATTTGGGCACTCACCTCCCCTTAAACATAAATCCTCTAAAAAACCAGATGGAGGACCATCAGCTATGAGTCAGTTCTGACTTGATGTTGGTATGTGATATTTTCCTATATATTTATTGCTGGGTGGTTTTCTTTCCTTTTTTTTTTTTGAAATCCTACTGTGATGTTGATCCTTCATGTTTATGCTATTGTTCTGGCTAGGAGCTGTCAAGTATGATTCATAGTGACCCTACAAACAGATCTGAACCTTCTCCTATTCTTCCACCATTCTAGCAATCTCGATACACGTGAGTCCATTGTTGCCGTCACTGTGTCAATCCATCTGGGTGAGGATCTTTCTCTCTTTCACCATTCTTCCACTTTTCCAAGTATGATGTCCCTCTCCAAGGAATAGCCTCTCCTAGCAAAATGCACAACGTATGTTAGTTATCATCTTTGCCTTCAAGAAATCCTGTGGCTGCACCTTCTCCAAGACACATCTGTTTGTCACTCTGAAGTCCATGGAATAAACAATACTCTTCTCCAACACTGCAGTACAAAGGCATCAATTAATTCTTCTTCTGTCATCTTTATTTATTGTCCCACTCTTGGATACATCGCAAGTGATTAAAAAAGACTGTGGCCTGAATTAGGCACACCTTAGTCCTCAAAATGACAGCACTGATCCTTAATATTTTTTGATAAGTCCTTGACTATATACTTTTGCAGTGCAGATCATCTATCTCCTCATCTCCTAACTGCAATACCAAATGTATTCATTGTAAATAAAAGATGAAATAATTGACAGTTCCAATCATTTATGTATCTATCCTGTTGTTGTGTGTCAGTACAGTGGTAAGAAGTTTTGTTTTCTGGATATTGAAATGTAATCCATTGAAGACTCCAGTGTTTGATCTTCTGCAGCAAGTGCTTCAAGTTTTCCTCACTTTTAGCAACCAAGGTTGAGTCATCTGCATAACAATACAGGTTCTTGATGAGTCTTCTTCCAATGCTGATGCCATTTTCTTTTACATCCAGTCCAATGTATTGAATAACTTACTTAGTGTGCATATCTATCAGAGTAAATAGTGCTAGCTGCAAGCTAGGCAGTTTAAATGATTTTATGCATCATATCATAGTAAACAATCTTTTCCAAGAATATTCCTTAGGAATATCAAGATAATACTAAAGGATGGAATATTTAAAGAACAGTAAAGTGATAAAATAATTATCAAAACTAAAACTGTTATATAAATTGCATCCAATATAATTAGAGCAAAAGATTTAACTATGAAGACATAAACAGATATTTAATGTTAAAATTTGGGCTTTAAGAAGAGAATGGATGGAGGAGTATTAACGACATTATAAAAAATATCAAAAACACTCTTGAGTGAGGAATAACAGAGCAGATAAGTGGGGTTTAGTCCAACTGCATGTTAAGAGAATTAAATTGTATAGACAAAACCCCTATATCTATATCTATATCTATCTAATCTATATCTACATATCTCTTTTGTTTTAATACCTTACTGAGGAAGAAAACAAGAAAAGGATTACAATTAAAGAAATGAATAAGACTATTCAATATATTTTAATTTCTTCCAAATCATGTATAAAACTCTTTATCTACACTTAACAACATGTTGATAGAAAGGTATTGTCTTACATTTTAGAAGCAAACTATTCTTGTCTTAGGAAAGAACATTCTTAGCACTTAGCCAGTAAATCTGAAAGTTCCCATTAATATCTTAAATGAATTTTTGGAATTTTTAATATGAATAGTAAATGCACTCTTCTTAGTTCATCATCAATCATTTCTTCTTGTTCTTTTTAATAATTAATGTGAGCTCTTCCCATGCGATTTACTGCCTCTGAAAACCTGTTGGAAGATCTGATATGAGTCAGTTATGGGTCAATTCTGACTCATCAGCACCCAATAATAATTACAAGCATTTCTGAACTATTATTAAAATTTTTTGTTTTTATTGACTTTCTAACATATTCCTTGCCAAAAAAAATTACATGCATAATTTTTAATCTTAAAACTAATATCTCTCATAGTAATAATAAAAACATACGCTACTATCTCTGTTATTAACAAGTACTTTTACAGATGGTTGACATTTAGTAACCCTAGAATGTTGTCTAAAAATTTCCCAGTATTTTATTTTTACATGAAAATGTAAGCTCCTACCTCAGTGTAGCTGAATCCAAGTGGTAGTAAAGCAGCAGTAGAATGACAGTCTTAAATACTTTGGTATGGAGGCGAGGATTGGTCCAAAGATGATTATTCTTTTGTGATAGATTAATGCTTCAACATCCCTTAGGATTAGTCCTCCGGTTAGTAATTAATTCAAGCTTACTTGGTTTACCTTGTACATTCAAGAAAAGTTAACCAAAGCCCCATGCTGTATTTCCAGTGGTTTTTTTTTTATTTTCTCAATTGAAAAACTGCAATCATTTCCTGATCTTTCATCATAACTGTGTTATATATTCACAGTTATAAAAGAAAGTGAGTTGGGTTCATGGGACAGACACTAAAATATATCTAAAATTTCCAAAAGGGGCCACAGTCATCAATCAGGAATTGTATTGAATTTAAGAACAATCAATCAAATTCAACTCTTTCCCATTGACATTGTATGGGAGGAAAGGTAATTGTATTAAATATGTGTATCTGAAATCAAAGAGATTAAGTAAGTGGTGGTGGTGGTGGTGTTGTTACATAAAGAATTAAAATTCACTATGTGGGTAGGGGGAAAACATGAGCAAGAGTGATCCAAAAAGTGAAGAGGACAAAAGGAAAACAAGAGGAAGAGAACAAAAGTAAGCAAAAAGAAAGTGATGATGATTGATTTAATAAAACAAAACTTATAGGAATGATACTATGAAACACAATGTGAAAAG